TGGTTTTGTGCCATTTGGCTGCTTTTCTCCGATTTTCAGATCTGTGACTTAGAACTGACAACCAGAAGCAGTAGGCAAAAAGCAAGGAGTGAGTACCAAGGGAAGGAACAAAAAAAAAAAAAAAAAGAGAGTCATGAGAGTCTGAAACAAAGAGGAGAGCTGCACAAATTGTCCAGCTGTGCTGTAAAACACTGCCTTTACTTTTCCACTGCTTAGTGCACGGGTCACTCTTGTACTGATTGTCTGGCACCGCTTAAATGTAATAAATTCTCCCTTTGTGTATTCCTTTCTGGTTATTTCCATCACCTAAAATACTGCCATATAAAACTCCTATATCTAAATAACATATGTACCTGCTAAGATATTTCATTTATAGTACCCATAAAACTGGCACCGCCAGTTCTGGCATATTATTTTTCCTCTCTTTGATCTGGTCTATGTAAGTAAAACAGAGACATTAACTCCTGAGGAGACGGCCTGTGTCTCCGCTCTGCTTGGCCCTGTGCTGCAGTCCGTTGATCCGCTGCTTTGCTTGCACAGAGAGCAACCTAGACCATGAGTGCCCTTGTGAGCAGAACGACCCTGTCCTGCTCCATCTGGGCATTTAGTCGTACCAGTCAGTTCTTAAACCCAGTGGCCCACACAAGCCACATTTTCATCACATGGTACCGATAACACCAAAAAATACAGGTGTTTCAGGATGCCTATATCTATGGATGTCTCTAGTTTTTATGGTATTTCCCTATCTGTGGCATAGGAGCATCAATGTGAGTTTTACTAAGAATGAGGGTTTTGTGACTAACAGCCAAATAAGTACTGTAGGAAACAGAAGATCATGTCCATACCCTTTACTGTTAACATGCTAAACACACAGTTCCTCCTTTTAAAACAAACATGGGTACAGCAGCTATTCATTCAGTGAATGAAAGCACATTGTCTCCAACAGAACTGTTTCCCCTGGTTTATAGAGCATTTTTTAGTGCTCTGAGCATCTGTAAACGCTGCGTGTTGCTCTGTATAACGGAGGAAGTAGGAAGCAGATGGGAGACCTTTTTTTTTAATTTTATCTGCCTTTTAAAAATAATTGGTGAGAAGCTATAAATCTTTTCAGTTAAAAAAATTAAAAAGTGGAATATTTTAAAAACACTTTCAGGAGACAGACTGTAAGCACTGCCTGTGTTCTCACTGCGTAGGAGATTCACACAGCGAGGCAGATTTATGTTTTATTGAAAACCTTGCTACTGCCTTTAGTTCTTTGCTGTAACTGACATGCACTGAATATATTTTTATCTTCTATTTTCAGGAAGAGATGGCACCTCTTCCCACCTGGTGACACCAGCTGCCTTTATCCCACCAGGATCCCGTATGAGGAGTCCAGCATATTCAGCAAAGTCAATGTTGCCAACCCTGATCTGAAACGCTTTCCTGAGTTTAGGAACACAACAGCCCATGTGGTTACACTCAGTCCAGGACAGGTACCCTTTGCATATGAGCTTTACACCAGTTTGAAGATTCTAGTAAATTATTTAACGGTCTAATTAAGGGCTAGGAAATCTTAACAATCTGACTGTGGTACTTCCCTCCCCTTTCACCACTCTGCATTCGGGCTTGACACATTTCTCTCAGCACGGGAACTTTCTTTGCTCACAGTTACTCTACTAGACTTTTTTGTACAAAAACCACAAACATTTGGAAAGTTCAGTCAGCTGCTCAATTCCATCACAGTTCTTGCAATCACCTCCAATTTGTCTGCTTTAAAACTTTCTTGAACAGTCCTCCAACCTGTCTACTCTGAAACCAGTATGTTCCATAAAATGTATTTGATTAATGAGCGTGTAGAGCCAGCAAAGGAACTCATATTTTGACAACGGGACGTGCCAGGGCTCCAACCGGTGCCAGCCCGGCGTCCTGCTGCCCGTCTGGCAGCCCGACAACCCCTCCTTCGGCGACAAGGCCGCCCGCGCCATCGTCTACTTCGTGGCCATGATGTACATGTTCCTGGGCGTCTCCATCATTGCCGACCGCTTCATGGCCTCCATCGAGGTCATCACCTCCAAGGAGAAGGAGATCACCATCACCAAGGCCAACGGGGAGACCAGCATCGGCACCGTCCGCATCTGGAACGAGACGGTTTCCAACCTCACCCTGATGGCCCTGGGTTCCTCGGCCCCTGAGATCCTCCTCTCCGTCATCGAGGTCTGCGGCCACAACTTCCAAGCGGGCGAGCTGGGGCCCGGCACCATCGTGGGCAGTGCGGCCTTCAACATGTTCGTGGTCATCGCCGTCTGCGTCTACGTCATCCCCAGCGGCGAGAGCCGGAAGATCAAGCACCTGCGGGTCTTCTTCGTCACGGCCTCCTGGAGCATCTTCGCCTACATCTGGCTCTACCTGATCCTGGCTGTCATCTCCCCCGGCGTGGTGCAGGTCTGGGAAGCCCTCCTCACCCTTGTCTTCTTCCCCGTCTGCGTGGTCTTCGCCTGGGCCGCCGAAAAAAAATGGGGGAAAAAATGGGGAAAAAAGGGGAAGAAATAGGGAAATAAATGGGGAAGAAATGGGGGAAAAATGCGGAAGAAATGGGGGAAAAATGGGAAGAAATGGGGGAAAACAGGAAAAATGGGGAAAAAATTGGGGAAAACTGGGGGAAAACTGGGGAAAAATGGTGAAGAAATGGGGAAAAAATGGGGGAAAAGCGGGGGAAAAAAGGGGAAAAGTGGGGAAGAAATGGGGAAGAAATGGGGGAAAAGCGGGGAAAAAATGGGGAAGAAATGGGGGAAAAATGGGAAAAAAGTGGGGAAAAATGGGGGAAAAGGGGGAAAAATGGGGGAAAAATGGGAAAAAAGTGGGGAAAATGAGGGAAAGGGGAAAAATGGGGGAAAAATGGGAAAAAAGTGGGGAAAAATGGGGGTAAAGGGGGGAAAAATGGTGGAAATTGGGAAAAAAGGAGGGGAAGAAAATGAGAGAAAGGGGAAAAATGGGGGAAAAAGGGGAAAAAAGTGGGGAAAAATGGGGGTAAAGGGGGGAAAAATGGTGGAAATTGGGAAAAAAGGAGGGGAAGGGAAAAAATGGGGGGAAATGGGAAAAATGGGAGGAAAAATGGGAAAAAATGGGGAAAAAATGGGGAAAAATAGAACAAAATGGGAAAAATGGGAGGAAAATGGGAGGAAAATGGGAAAAAGTGGGGAAAATAACCAGAAAAAATGGGGAAAAATGGGAGAAAAAGGGGGAAAATGGGGAAGAAATGGGGAAAAATGGGGGGGAAAGGAGAAAAATGGGAAAAATGGGAGAAATGGGGAAGAAATGGAAAAAAAAGGGAAAAAATGGGAACAAAATGGGAGAAAATGGGGGAAATGGAAAAAAATGGGGAAAAATGGGAACAAAATGGGGAAAAAATGGGAAAAAAGTGAGGGGAAATGGGAAAAAATGGGAAAAAATTTGATAAATTTTGAAAAAATGGGAAAAATGGGGGGAAAAAGGAAAAGAATGGGAAAACCTGGGAAAAATGGGGAAAAAAGCCAGGTAAAAAAGGGAAAAAGTGGGAATCTGGGGGCCAGGCATCTCCTGGTGCCGTCCCGGCTTTTCCCGGCGCCGCTTCCGCGGGGTTTCGCTCCCCTCCCGCCCTTCGTCCTCCTCCTCCTCGACGCCTCCACCACCGCGTGCCCCCCACCACCCCCCAATCCCCTTCCTCGGC